ATTAATACATTTCCCCTTTTTTTTTTTTTTTTTTTTTTACTTTCTTATCTGGCATTGGGGCTGCTTGTTTTTAATATATATATATATATATATATATAAAAAAAAGAAAAAAGTTATATTTTTGGCAAATGTAAAAGCCCTTTCACACCAAAATTGGTGAAATGAATAAGCCTCAGGCTGAAGGAAATTTAAAAAAAAACTAAATACTGAAGTTACTGGAATACTGACGTTGAGATGAGTACAGATGAGTAAATGCATGTTCACATTTAATCTAAAACTACAGTAACATCATGATCACACAGGGCACACAACATCTCTGCACTTAATAAATGGGAGAAAAAAGTGACTGGCATTACTTATTTGAAAAAGAACTCAGATATTTTCTTGTAAATTAAGTAGTGTTACTTTACTAGTTACTTGGAAAAAATAATCTGATTATGTAACTTGTGTTACTTTTAATGCGTGCAAACCTGCAACACTGCTTACTAAAGCAATTATGCATAAATACATGCAACTACCTCTAAATCAAACCCAAAATCCAACCCTAAAGTATGCATATTACACTGTAAGTAAATGTATAATTACACTGTAACAGACACATTAAAGGGGTCCTATTACGCTCTTTTACAAAGTTTTGATTTTGTTTTGGGGGTGTACTAGAACAGGCTCTCATACTAGGTTGTTCGAAAAACACATTATTTTTCACATATTTTACATTATTACAACACCTCTCTCCCCAGTCTGGCATTAACGGCTCAAATAGTTCCTGTATCAAATGAAGGCCTGCCTTCTGCACTCGGCGCTTGGTCGGGAAATGGCATGCCCCTTACCATAGCCGCCTGCGAGCTTCAGTGTAAATATTGCATCAAAATCAAATCAATTTGAGCGTGATTTAAACCCGGATGATTGTAACCACTCTTAAGTTCATCTGCCTTAGGAAAGCTAGCATGTCTCCGACATAGTGATAACTCTCGTTGTCTTCTCTAGTGCAGCTCAACAAGGTCTCGTCCCATTCGTCAATATTTGTGATATCACAAATCCCGGAAAATATGCGTTGTAGTCCAAACGAGTCGTTTGTTGTAGTTTTTGAAAAGTGATTTCTCTTAAATAAAACATCTCCTTTTGAAGTGGACTTTAAGCTTTGTAACTTTGCAGATCTTTTTTATGCTCAAACAGCAACATTACAGACTAACTAAAGTTGAAAAAGTGAAAAAGCATAATAGGACCGTTAAACGTTAAAACGTATTCTTATATTATTACAAATATTGATAAATCAGACTGTCTATATGGACACTGTCACTAAAGAAAAGAATCAAATAATGAAGCAAATCCGTTTTGTGCTGATATTTTGTAATTTATTTCTTTGTCAATGGACGAACACCTCCTACTATTATATCACAATATAGCAGCTTGTCGTATTGGATGGTCAACGGGGCATCTGTTCTGGCTCATGGAAAGGATAGATTGGTTCACATCATTTTGTCAAACCCAGAACTGAACACCCCAGAGACCTGGATTTCAGTCAGAACCATAAAGCACCAGCTTTCAGAAAGACTAACAACGTGCCAAAAAAGATTCCAAAGACAAAAATGAAATATAACAGAACAAAGACATAAATAAATACATTCCAAAAACAACATCGGAGAAATGAATTATCTTTGCTGACAGTCATGGAAATACACTTTCAAAACTAACAGTATTGTTACATTCGAGCGACGAGGTGAGTACTGTTTCAAGCATACGTGGTTCAAAACACTGAAATTGTCTTTGAATAAACATAAAAACATTACTACAGTTGACTGTCAGACCACAGTTCGCAATGAACTATTAAGGCACTGAGGAACATTAGATTATCCAAACGATAAACATCTTCCATAGCTCTCGATGTAAAGAATTAGTTCAAAATAGAACTAATATATTCATATAAACCTTCTCCGACAGCACGTGTTGTTTAGCAGACGACTAGAAAAATGTAAGGCTGTAAATGCAAAAATGCACTATTTACAGTTTGTCAAATTGCTTACTTGAGCTAACAAAAATAGCTTGAAAAGATGGCTTCGTGCCTGTAAACGGGGCACTGAAGATACAAATAAATAACTTGGCATTTAGTTTGCTGGCTCGTCTTTTGTGATTTTTTTTGGTGAAATTCAGGATGATGCTACGGGCCAACGCAAGTCCAATAACACAATTTGGAGAGAAGAAAATCACTGACAATGGTTTCTCCTAAAGCCATTATTGTTTTCAGCCCTACATGTGCTAAGTTTTACATCCAAAACCAATCCTGTGAGGACATCATAGAGGAATGAGATGCTTTTAATGTAGCATTTGCACATTAGTCAATCTGAGTCTATCCGCGTGTACTTCACGTGGCCCCAATGCAGCGATCGCCATAAGAAGGGCTTCTGGTAGCTGCGGGGGACGACGGCGAGAACGTTGTTTTCCAGGTACCGGAAAAATCGGTACCACCATACGTGGGTGAAAAAGTTGGTCTGGGATGTCTCTTTGAGAGCCTAGAAAAGATACAGATGTAGAAGGTTCAAATAAACCATAAATAGGTTGACACAGAAATCTGAATGGAAATTTGAGCAAAACAGACAGACGTACTTGTTGGTTGGCCATTGTGTGATACCACCAGAAGAGACGTGTGGTTATGAAGTAGGCCACGGCGACATCAATCGTGTAGTGGTCATGAGCTAGAAGGATGCAAAACACTCCTATTGCACACAAAGCCCAGCAGCCCCAGTGGTACCACCAGAACCTTCTAGGAGAATCTGTGAGGAGCAAGAAAATCAGGGGTCTTATAATGTAGAACATAAGCTACCTAATAGATAACTAATGAAATAAGGCAAGGGTCGGCAACCTTTTGGGCAAATGTTCTGGTTAACCACTGAAATCAGCACCTCGGATGCACAGCGGTCATGCGAATGGTTTGCCGGAGACACACGCATCTGTAGATTAGCGCAGGTTAATTCTCACGTGTAGTATTTATACCTCCTATGAGGAACGATTAAGTTCAAATGTATGTTGGAATGCAGTTTTCCCTATTGCTCACATGCCAGTGATTTTCCCTCTGCGTGCCAATGTTGGCATGTGTGTCACAGGTTGCCGACCCCTGAAATAAGACAAGAATCTACTGACAGCAAGCAAAACTTACATAAAGTCGTCTCAAAAGGTATTTTGAGGACCATTAAGATTTTTTGCACTGAACATTTCAGCACATTTTTGCCCAAACTATCAATGCCGTAATGTCTTAAAATAGTAAACGATTACAAGTTTAGATACAGAAAAGAAATGGAAGCGATACATACAGTAACTTGTACACAATTAATCATTTTTAGCACAGGAACTAAACTTTGCAAATGAGCCAAGACTATCAAAATACAAATCTTTTGGAATGTTTACAGTGTCTCAAAAAAAAAAAATGTAACGCTCAATAAAATATATGTAACCTCTTTCCCATATATCACACACTTTTGGGACTGAATATTTTTAATAAACATGAATATGAACTTCTTGTGATCCACTGACCCCTACTGAACCACTGTAGCATGAAAAATGGATGAAAAAGTGAAACTTACAATAAATATATATTGTCTGAAAACATTCTAGAGTAATATGTATGCTGTTTTGTTAGAAAAGGAATATGTAGGTTTCATAAATGTATTTTTGATACATATTTTGAATATCATGATATATACAGTATAAGTTCAAAGATATTCAAATCCATTGATTTCAATGGAATGAATACACAGACAAATAATTCTCAAATTATGTGTTCTTATAAATTTTGCATTATATATTCAAATAAAATGTCCTCTCTTTTTTTCTTTTTTTAAAGTTATATTTATGGGCTTTTATGCCTTTAATGGACAGTAGAGAGTAGACAGGAAAGCATTGGATGGAGAGAGGGGAGCAGGATTGGCAAAGGACCTCAAGACCTCAAGACACCTCATCCAAACAGACCCAGGAATGCAAAAATCACAATCATCTAAAGCAATAAAATTCTTACACTTTTAAGTGCATCTCCATATCCAAATACTTTTTGGTACCACTGCATAATCAAAACTTGTGCTTCAACTGTCCGCTAGGGGACGGTGTTATTACTCACACTCCTTCGTGAAGAGATAAGTGAGGGTGAGCATGACTGTGTGGCCGCTGTACAAGTAGTCTCCACACATGTTATGAGAGCCTGTGATGGTCAGACCTCCTCCTGCAATCATTTTCATCACCCGCCGGATCTGAGATTCCCAGTCACCATACAGCTGCCAGAAACAACAAACAAGCATTGGCATCATGACATTCTCCTATCATTCCTTAAAACCTGTTTTCATACACTGCTGGTCCCATTTTGTTTCTACAAACTCAGCATGTGTTCATGTCGAGAGCATACATCAACAAATAAGCCCTTTGAGACTCCACATAAAAGCAAAAAATGGCTCCCAGAAAACAAAGTTCTTGGTTGTTTTTGTCTGGGCTTTCTTTCAGCAACTGCATTTAACAGGAAAGCAGATTCTAACAAGAGTGAAAGAGTTGCTGGGCTTGATAATATGTGTTTCCTGCAGGTCCCGTGGTGTGGATTTCCTGCCTTGTGTAGCTAGTGTGTGTGTTCACAGCATCTCATCGACCATATTGAGTCTCTCTCTCTCTCTCACACACACACACACAGTTGTGAAAGGATCACCAGTGGACTGTCAGCATGGTAACACTAGAGGAGTTACTCTCTAAACAATCATTTCACAATAATATTGCTCATTTTTTCGGTACGTGCAGATTTTGTCATAAGATTCATGCAGTCCGGAAAGAGGGCCACTGATGGGGAAAATAGTTCCCTATTCTTTTCTATGAAGAAAATTACACATTTTCACTATGTGACATTTACTTCCCTTATTTTCTTATTTAACCCTTAAACTACGCGACACAATTTAGAGTTAAAGGGGTGGTTGATTGTGATTTTTTTTTGTGCTAGTTAGTGTGTAATGTTGCTGTTTGAGCATAAACAATCTCTGCAAAGCTGAAAGTTCAATGCAAACGGAGATATTGTCTTTTAAAATTCTGGCAGTTTAATGCCTACAGTTACGGCTCGTAGGGACTACAACGAGATACTTCCCGGGTTGGTGGCATCGCAAACCCTGAAATTTACATAAACCCTGCCCCCGGGAACATGCAATAAAGGGGGCGGGGCCATGTTGTGCAGCTTTAGAGAAGAGGAAGACTTGTTGCCAAGCCGTCAAAACTAGTGGTGCGTGAAAAAAATCTATGAATCGTGATTCTGTTTTTTAACGATTCTAATGGATTCACAAGTTTCAAAATCAATGTTCTAAAGCAGCGGTTCTTAATCCTGTTGCTCGCATCCCCTGCTCTGCACACGCTCTGTTCTGAATCACTCTCTCTCATGTATTCTACTGTATTAAAGCTTTAATCAGGATGAAACAGTATATTAGAAGCTAACAGAAGCAGTAGCATTTACAAACAACAGTGCATCTAAAAGTATGAGACAACAACAAAGAAACATACCATTCTGAAACGTCCTGTAAGAGTCGTGCTTGCACAGGTTCTGTGCGATCCTGTTCACTAAAATTCTCTGGGTCTCATTCGGGCTCAAATTGATAAGCAATACTAACGACGCCATTGTTTACAATACAACCGGAGCACATGCCGCTGAGGTGAGGGGCGGGACATTTAGACGCGCACTAGAGGCGGTTTAGCCAATCACAACACACTGGGCCAGCTGACCAATCTGAGCCCATTTTTGAGGGATTTTTTTAAATTATTTATTTATCATTTAGGATCATAAAGCAAATTTCATGGTTAAAGACAGGAAAATAGACCCAATCTTTTTTAAACCAGAACACTTGAAAAGTTTGTGTGGCGACTCTTTAAAAAAGACGTAAATACTTTGCATATTTTAATCAACCCTTGTATGATGTTAATTCTGGGTACAATTGTTATGTTCCAAATAAAAAAAAAAATTTAATAAAAAAAATTTAAAAATAAGTAAACTAATCAGGTAAAAACAGTTAAACTCTTAATACTTTTAACGCAACAAAAATTACTAGTCTGATTTTTAAATCTATATAACTATTTTTTTAAACATTTGTTTTTCATGAAATGTGAATACATATTTTATTTATTTGTTTGTTTGTTTATTTATTGATTTGGACTTTCTGGACTATTGGTTTTGATTTCCAGCAAAATTCACATGTACGAATTGCTAAAAAATTTAAGCTGTCAACACAGTGTACATTTCATCAAAAAGCATACATCTAAAATGCAAACAGAAACTGGTAAAAAAAAAAAAAAAAATTTGGAGGGGGAGGGGTCTGTCTTAAACCATGAAATTTGCAGATCAAACTGACTTGCTAACATCACCAGAGCAAGCTGCGTAGGGCCTCCGAAACACCAGGGGGCCCCCTTGCTCTCAAAGGTGATTTAATTTTAGTTTTGTTTTTGAATTTGGCTAGCGGTTATGGAATCATGAATTATCATTTCTTTTAATGTGGTGCGCTGTCGCCCTTTCTACATAAAAATCAGTCACATCCTGTAATGTGAATGTCGTACACTCTTGCTCGAGACTAAAAAAACTAGTTGAAAGCCTACTGAGCCGCAGAAGAGACTCAATTGCATTCAGCGAGCACGATTCGAGACGGAGTGAAACACGGACAAATGCGTTTCATTAATTCGTTCCCCAACCATACCCCAACCCCCCGCCCCCGTCCACTGACACAGTTTGCGTAGGGCCCCCAGAAGTCTAGGATCGGCACTGAATATCACAATCGTAATATAAATTTCGTACGCAACTTTTCAGACGTTCACAACCCTAAAAATATTATTTAAACAATATTTTATTCACCTTAAAACAAAGAGAATTTATAATTAAAATAATTTTCAAATTTTTTACAGTAATGAGAATAATATGGTCTTGCATGACGGTAATGATCATATAAGTACAATTTGTGCTTAATTGTTATGAAAATAGTATTTCAGCAATATTTTATTCATAAAATCAGTAAACATAAGAAAATATCATTTACATTTTTTGCATTAGAATAATGAGAATAATATTTTGTTGGATTAATGATCATTTTGTTGAAATCGTGCTGAAATTGTCCTAGTGAAATTATCATAAAAATATAGTTTATATTTATTAATATATGTGACCCTGGACCACAAAACCAGGTTTTAAGTCGCTGGGGTATATTTGTAGCAATAGCCAAAAATACATTGTATGGGTCAAAATTATATATTTTTCTTTTATGCCTAAAATCATTAGGACATTAAGTAAAGATCATGTTCCATGAAGATATTTTGTAAATTTCCTACTGTAAATATATCAGAACTTAATTTTTGATTAGTAATATGCATTGCTAAGAACTTCATTTGGACAACTTTAAAGGTGATTTTCTCAATATTTAGATTTTTTTGCACCCTCAGATTCCATATTTTCAAATTGTTGTATCTCGGCCAAATATCGGGAAATCGGGAACGCTTATTTATTCAGCTTTGAGATGGTGTATACATCTCAATTTAAAAAAATTGACCCTTATGACTGGTTTTGTGGTCCAGGGTCACATATATGAACATATTATTCATATAACAGTAATTAGAAAAACAATATTTGGGTTTAGGGGTGGATGCTTAAGTTTTTTCCTAAAAAAACGTACATTTCCATATGAATCCCACTGAAGAAATTCATACAAAATCACCACCTTGGTGGTTACTTTTTCTCATGAGATGGGGTCGGCAGATCCCATAAAAGTAATGCAAATTTTTAAAATCCTGTCAACGTCTTTCTGACACTCTACCCCCCCTGTGTCTTCCTCAATATAAATGGTTTGCCAGAGCATATAGAAGGGAAAACAGATGAAAATAGCACATTTTCCATGAACGGCTTCTCCATGCAATGTGAAATATGTCCCTTTGTGACCTCTGCTCTGAGGACATTTATAGAGCACTCACAAATACTTCACATCAACTGCTCAAAACATACATGGCCACCTCAACTCTCCTGTTACACTACACTTCCAACAATACATCACATATAAACAAATAACATTCTGTAATCTTTCCCAAAAATGGAACATTATACAAGTACAGTATCGATCATTAAAGGAGCCAGGACAATTACATAGTCTATGCCTGAACATGCGAATCACGAACAAGTTTTTAATGACACTTCTAATTTTACAGCTTTAAAGGGAGTCTCTATCCTCTTCCACTGTATTCTAAATATTTTGGGTGAACTATTCCTTTAACTGGCCAACAAGCCTACATGTCGAACATTGCAAAGTTAGTTGTGCTGATTATGAATTTTAACAATGCTATAAAATAATATGGGAATGGGAAAAGAAAGTGAGATTTTGTTGTTTTTACCTTAGGAGAGCATTTGAAGTGCATGCCAGGCACAGGAAGAGTAGTAACGTACATGGTGATGCACCTGTAGAGGTAGAGCGTCCCGACTATGAAAAAGAAGCGTCGACCTACAATTGATCTGTGGAAGGAAGATGTGGTGGTTAAATATTTTAACCACACTACTACCAGAGCGAATGTCCAAGCAAATCACATTTTACATTTCACCCTAAAATTAACAGACATAGATAAGAAATTAGACTTGGTCTATTCATTAAGGTTTTGAATTTTGAAGGTACAGTCATTACACAATTAAAGAGACATTTTACATGATGATTCTCAATGATGATTCATACAGTGAAATACAAAAATTCTTTACAGATATTTATTTAAACTAAAAAAAAAATTCCATTACAGTAATGAGAATACGTTTTTGCATTATGGTAATGAAATATGAGGGAAAATTATGCTCAAGCGTCATTTAAATATTTTATTCATATTTAATTCATGTTACAGCAATGAGATCAAAATATCGTTTAAAATTTTAAACGATATTACCTGTATTACAGTAATGAGAATAATACTGTCTTACATTACGGTAATAAGTAAAATTGTGCTTAACTGACATAAAAAAAAAATTATATTATTTAATATAATTAAATATAGTAAATATAATTTAATTGAAATATAATTTCATTTTTTTATTAATTTTAAATTTCATTAAATTTTTTTACATTACAGTAACAAAAATTACATTTTCTTTCATTACAGTATTGATCATTTAAGTGAAAATTGTGGTTAATTATGAAAATATAATTTTTATAATAAAATAATTAAACTATTTTATTCACAAAAAATATTGTAAAAAATATTCTATTTATTACAGTAATGAATTACAATTTTCTTGGATTAATAATCATTTTAATGAAAATAAATACTTAACTGTAATAAAAATAATATTTAAATAATATGTTATTCATAAAACCGTAATCAGAAGAAAATCACTTTTTTGTGTTAAAAATTGTGAGTAACTGTAACAAAAATATAATTTAAATAATACATTATTCCTATAACAGTAATCAGAAGAACATATCGTTTAAATTTTTTGCTTTACTGCAATGCAATAAATATTATTCTCATTATTATAATGCAAAAAAAATTATATTTTCTTCTGATTACTGTTGAATTTCATGAATAATATATTATTTTAATAATATTCTGTGACAAATAAGCACAACATATTACTCTAATACAGTAAATTATTCTCATTACTACAATGCAAACAATGTAATGATATTTTCTTCTGATTACTGTTGAATTTCATGAATAATATATTATTTTAATAATATTCTGTGACAATTAAGCACAACTTATTACTGTAATGCAATAAAATATTATTCTCATTAAAGTTAAAATGCTTAATTGTCATGAAAATAATGTCAAAGTCTAAAAATTCTCCTCACTGTCTTTAAGCAAATTAGCGTATGTATTTCTTTTGAATTTGTGGTAAACTATGCCTGGGACATTACAGGATTTATGAGAATCACCTACAAACAGCACTCATGCAAGACTCTCAAATGATTCACATACACAGTGTGTGCTACTTAGAAAACTCACTTGTGTTTTAAGAGACTCAGCTGTATAATCCACAAGACGATCAGAATCATTCCGCTGATCTCGCATATAGTGAAAGCCCACTCCACTCGATCAAAAAAGTCAAAGAACTTGTCAGGGAGCGGTGGAGATGCCTCCTTAGGAGGCACACGTTCATGGACCACAGAAATAATGACGGTGGTCAAGACGAAGCAGCATAAGGCATAGACAAGAGCCACAGCGGTCTTTCCCCACTCAGGAGGGAACTGCGGAGAAGATGGCTCTGGTATGGGAATCTGCACCAGTTCCTTGTGGAAGCCATTCACCACGCCATTCCGGTGAGCCTTTCCGGCACTCCCAGCATTCCCGTTATGATTCAACACCATGTGCCCGTTGGCATGTCCATTCTTGTGGACGTCGATATGATGCTCGATCTTAAGAGTCTCAATCTTTTCCAGGAGCAGACGACCACCGTCTGACGTAACCCTGGAGAGGGGTGACCTCTTGAAGTCATCCGTCGTAATACTTAACAAAGCCGGTCCGTCATAGTTTCGCAATGGTTCTGAGTATTCCTGCAGGCCCTGATCGGTCAGCCAGAGCGAGACCTCCTCCTCTGACCACGATGCTACTTTATTCATATCAGCCCTTGAGCTTGTAGAAATGTAATGGAGAATCCGGAATAGGCACACACTGCTATGAAACACGAAGTCCTTCTCTGGCCATGCTCATGACATGTGAAGGGCGTTGGGGAGGAATGGCTCACAATTTCCAGACGTTTAATCCAAATATGACGCACAACTACAGCCTCTTCATAGATGTCTGTACTGTACCAGAAAAGACAAAAGTGCATGATTCAGAAAGCACTCTACATTCTGTTTGCAAAGGCATACAAAGCATGTATGCACACAATTTAAGATTAATTTAATAATAGATACACTATAATAGATTTTCAGGGCTCGACATTAAGCCTTGACATGCGCTTGTCCTTTGGACAAGTAAATCAGACATTCACTTGCCCAAGCAAAAAAGTTACTTGTCCGGGGGAAAAAAGCTTCTTTTTTTTTGGCATAAATGTAATTTATTCTGAAACAACTGTCTCATCAGTGCTCTATCAGGTCTTACTTTAATCAGCATATTTGTGATATTTGCCATAAATTGATTTCTAAGACACTTTTTAACTTTGTGAAGGACACTATTTTCCTGAGCTTATTGAATGTACGTGTCATAATTTACTTACATTTTTAGAATAATAAAACACTGTATGGTTGTTACCATTCAAATTAAATCAGTATCAACAAACTCCCATCTTTCCACTGCAGAGGAAACACTGAAGCTCCATCGAAAGTGCCATTTAGATGTATTTACTCAGACTGTTTCAAGAAGATAAGAGGTTCCATAAATGCATTTACACAGTAAAATTGCAAATGCATAAATAATGTTATAAGATTAATGTTTTACTTTTTTTAACATACAAATATGAAATGTTGGAAAAATGCAATGATACTTTTAAATATGAAACCAAAGTACCAGTAGGTGGCGGTAGGTCTTAATGAGTGAGTCACTGATTCAACAGATTCGTTCAAATGGCTGATTCATTCAATACATTTTTTGAATGGCTCACTGAATCATTGACTCACCCGATTCGTTCAAAAATGCTGAATCATTCAGTAACGAATCACTATTATGTGTTGCTCGAGGATGCGCATCAAATAAATGTCACATTTGCAATCGTGCTGATAGTCGGAAAAACATCATTCTTGGTCGTGTGATGTTGCTTACCTATTTTATATAGAATATTTATCTTTTTTTTCTACTGCAGTATGTTTGTTCGTGTTTGTTTCTTTGTGTGTGCTGTTGCGCTTATTAGTTCTGATTTCTCCGCGGGTCACACAGGCTGCGTGAACCTCAACTGACACGACCTTGATACTGTCAATACATTATCTGCTATCAGTCACTATTTACACTGAAAGTAAATAAATCTGAATCATTGTCGCTAAAGTTTTGGCGCTGCCCTAGTTATTGTTTGTTAATAACGTTTTAAATGGGTTACTTGTCCGGGTGGGCAAGTAAAATTCTCTTTCACTTGCCCCTTCACAAAATCCACATGTCCGGGACAAGCGTTAATGTCGAGCCCTGGATTTTGTTCATGTTTTAAATTTGATTTTGTTTATATTTTATTACTTAAAGTTGTTGCAACTTCTATTAGTTTTAGTTGTTTTTAAATATCTGTATAGTTTTTAATCATTTAAATGTATTGTTATCTTGTTAACTATATGAAATAAAATAAGTTGACATTTTAATATTTTATTTTATGTAACATTTAATTCAAGTAACAATGGTGTGTTTTACACTTATACATTTTTACACATTTTTACTAAATATATTTTATTTGTTAAAAACACACTATAGTATAGGGACCAATTGTCACTATTAACTAGTTGCTTATTAGCATGCCTATTATTAACATATTGCCTGTTTATTAGTACTTATAACGCACATATTCTGCATGACCATATTCTATTCATCTCCAAAACTAATTTCAAGAATTTAAAATAAATCTTTAGTTCTTACAGCATCTAGCATTAGAAATGAACTAGTATACAGTTTTCAATCACTATCTGCTAAATACATAAAAAAATGTGAGAATAAACCTTTAGACGTTAAATATCTTGAAGATGAGAAATAAATTCAGTCAAAAGTGTTTTGACTAGTTTTTACAAGTATATGATAGCAAACGCATGAAAACAGTTTGAATAGTGCAACAACGTCCACAGAGGTATATGCGATATGACAAAAAAAGACAACGGTTAAAAAGCACGTGCAACTGCACTCACCAGTTTCACTTTCCTTCAGAGTTTAGCATAATTTCCAGTCACAGTAGAAACTCTTTAAAAGAAACTTTTCCAAATTACACAACATCGGAGTCAACACAGTCAACACAGCAAAGTGAACTGCCTGCTATATTTAATCTCCGTCTATTTACAGAAAGAAGCACGTTTAGTTCTCCGAATGGCTGCGAGCTGAAGCAGAAACACACTGATCAGGACCACATGCATCGTCTGACTGCAAGAATTCCAGGAGCTCTTGAGTGTTTCCATGGGTGTGGCAGGACTGTTTACATTACAGCAGTAAGGGGAAGGGAACTATCTATCACGGACAATATCTGGGTTGCATTAGTGAGGATATCTGCCATGAGTTCACTGGTTACCCCTACATAAAGATCATTTTGAACCTGTGAAAAACTTTACCAAAACTCTATCTAGTGCTTGCCCAAGTAAAACTCCAGGGCATGTTGCTATGCAGTTGCCAGGGTGTTCAGGTTGAGTAAAAAAAAAACTACCGTAAGTCTCTATGAAAGGGGTCTTCAAGATTTTTCATTAGATTAAAGGGGTCATATGACGTTGCTAAAAAGAACATTATTTTGTGTATTTGGTGTAATGAAATATGTTTATGCGGTTTAAAGTAAAAAAAAAAAAACACATTATTTTCCACATATTGTACATTATTGTTTCTCCTCTATGCCCCGCCTTTTTGAAATGCGTCGATTTTTACAAAGCTCATCGGTCTGAAAAAGCGAGGTGTGCTGTGATTGGCCAGCTATCCAGTGCATTGGGATTGGCCGAATACCTCAAGCGTGAGACGGAAATGTTATGCCCTCACATACTGTTGATGCCGTGTCCCGGAGCGACGAGACATAAACATTAAAACCCATTACAAACGAGGCATTTGTTGCATCCAGTGGGTACATAATTACTGATTATAATGACTTATACTGTTTTTATGCGTTGTGTTGCATTGCATCGCGCCGCGTAAACTTAAAACCCTGTCTGCATTTGTGATCAGAGAAATGACAAACAACAAGTGCTACTCTACTGCCCAAAACCCGCGTTTGAATCATCAGTGGCAAATCCTTTAAATGAAAATGTACTTACGTGAGTCAGAACTGCCGGCATTGTAGTCTAACGTTACTCTCCCAGGATCAGTAAACAGTCCTCCATAAAATGCGCTGCACACATCTGGATATTTGGGTTAAACTGTTCTGGAACAGTGTTGTAAATACCACTGATTTGTAGTCGTGTCCTCTTTTGGAAGACCAAACAAAGTAGTTTCGCTTTCACAACGAAAAACACAGTGGCCTAGCGTGAGTGGAAGCCCCGGCTTAGCGTGAGCTGAGGCCGGGATAGAGTGAGGTGAGGCCTGGCTAGCGTGAGTGGAAGCCCCGGCTTAGCGTGAGCTGAGGCCGGGATAGAGTGAGGTGAGGCCTGGCTAGCGTGAGTGGAAGCCCCGGCTTAGCGTGAGCTGAGGCCGGGATAGAGTGAGCTGAGGCCTGGCTAGCGTGAGGGGAAGCCCCGGCTTAGCGTGAGGTCGAGAACGGCGCGCCGGGCGGATCCGAAGAATGAGCGGCAATCACATGTGACGGACTTCCGCTTCATCCACGGTAGAAGGTTGATGTATTCCCTCAGTGACCAGCACAGATCAGCTCATGATAAATGAACAGTAAATAAACATACTTTCCAGAAGGTCAACAATTCACTAAAGATGTTTTTTTTATTGGTCTTATGAAGTATTCTAATTTGTTGAGATAGTGAATTGGTGGGTTTTTGTTAAATGTGAGCCAAAATCATCACAATTAAAAGAACCAAAGACTTAAACTACTTCAGTCTGTGTGCATTGAATTTATTTAATACACGAGTTTCACAATTTGAGTTGAATTACTGAAATAAATGAACTTTTCCACGACATTCTAATTTATTGAGATGCACCTGTACTTTTTTTTTAATTATAACTGCTACCCTCAAGCCAACATTGAAGAACTCTGAAGCGTCTTTTCCCAAAGGAAGAAGTTGGTACTCAGAGTGAAGGACATGAGTGGGGTCTAAAATAATTTTCTGAGCCTGTCTAATAATTGTCTCATAAAAGAGCCTGAAGTGTGGGATGCTGCTTAACTCCCATAATTTAAAGGCTCTCTGTGTTAGCCATGCAATCTGAGCTTTCAAATGTACACTGAGATTGCCAAACCAGGCTGAGATGCCATATCGAAGAATGCTCTCGATTACAGCATGGTAAAAGAGAAGCAACACTTTCTGGTTAACACCAAAACCTAAGCCTACGTAGGGCTGTCGTGGTGAGAGAATTGATGCGGTATTATCGCCAGACATATACATACACATATATGTATACACATATATGTATATATATATATATACATATATGTATACACATATATGACAATAAGATTGTTAGCTATCGTTACGTATAACAGTTAGCCTAGTTATAATCTGATTTTCTAATCTGACTGGACAAGAGACTTTCTATTGATATTTCCACCTGTCAGTCAGTCAGTGCAGTTATAGTGTTGCGCCACAAGGTGGTGGAAAGGGACTGTCATTCAACTACACGTTCAAAAACGCTGATTCATTCATTCAAAGAGACGTAATGAAACATGCTGTTGAAATCATTTTAACTTTGAGCGCTACTTTAGAAGGCTCAGCTGACCAGCTATGCGTTGATGCTAAGACAGAGATTTTGCTTTCCTTGGACATGACAACTTATTTTCACAAATATATATGACTCCGCCTGGAGGAACGACGCAAGTAATCGCACGCACTCAGTCGATCTCTCTCTCATTCACTGTCTGTTTAGGCTTGTTAAGTGCAAATCTACGGAGCCCCTGTACAAGTCAGCATGGTACACCTTATGTTATCATTACTAACTTGTTTAATATTCAGTCCACATGCATGAAGTGTAAAACGAGAAGGGCATAACCTTACGAAAAAACAAAAAATGCGGTTCTTGCATTCTTTTGCGGTTTGCTCGTCAATAGCACAGTATTGCGATATTGCGGTTATCGCGACAGCCCTAAGCCTACGAAGAAAGTATAGTCGCCGTTGGACCCTAGTACAGACATTTTCCACCTGAACACTCCACCAGAGTCCACCTGGGCTATATTCTGACCATTAATAACCACTGGTGAGTGGTCTCCAATGGATTTGGGGTCAAACATCATCGCCACGGTTTTCTTCGTGTTAATAATAAGGAAATGTTCATCACACCACTGAACAAATTTCTGAACCTCATGCTTGTAAGTAACAACATCTGATGTTCTAGATATGAGACCTAAAATAGCTGTATCATCAGAGAACTTAATCGTGTAATTATTAACAGCTCTGCATTCATTAGTGTATAATGTGAACAGAACTGGAGAACAGACACACCCCTGTGGGGCGCCAGTGCTGATAATCATATGTCACTTTTCCACTGCGTGGTACGACTCGGCAAGGTTCGGCTCGGCACGGTTTGCGTTTCCACTGGAGTTCAGTACCACTTTAGAGTGGGCGGGATTATTCACATGTCGTTATAGTTGAGCCTCCTCTACTACCACGACTCCTAAAAAAAATGTTTTCATTCCGCGTCGCCCCATCAAGCTCTCGCTGGATCTGCTCCTCTGCTATCAACGAGAGGAACGTCTGTTCTTCCACAACAGACAGCAAAACTTTTTGGTTGTTAAAAAAAAGGTGCGCTCGTTCAAAACAGTTGCGTTCGATCCTTCGCTGGCTGTGCTGATTTAAATCTAGTGGTTCTGTTGTGTTTGTGTCGCAAGTTCAGTGGTAATGACGATTCTCTCCGGCCAATACGTGATCAGCAGAGTTTACACGTCACATTTTGGTAACGCTACGGTTCACTTGAAACCCCAACCGAGGTGGTACTAAAAATATTACCAGGTACCAGGTCCTGTACCCAGTGGAAAACCCCCAAAAAGTGAACCGTACCGAGCCGTACCGTGCAGTGGAAAAGCGCCAATAGATTCAGACAACGTCCTATTCACCCTGACTTGCTGACTACGATTGGTCAGAAATGAGTGGAACCACTTAATGATAAAGGGGTTGACATTCATCTGCTGCAGTGCTTTCAAAATAATGTGAGGCTGCAAGGTGTTAAAGGCTGAACTAAAATCTACAAATAACAGTCTAGCATAAGCCCTGGGGGATTCTCAAGATGTTTAGTCACTAGGTGCACTAATCTGTTGATTGCATCATCAGTGCCTCTCCGATGTTTATATGCAAACTGATAGGGATCTAAATGTAGACCTACTTCCTGTTTTGTTAACAGTATTGCTTGACTTAGTTAACAAAAAACACGCCATGAAATGAAAATTCATGAATTTAAATGTTTTCAATTTAGAAATGTCTGAATGCATGTTATAGATCTTGTGAATAATTCATCCTTGTAAAACTGTAATTTTCTACAAAAATGTTTTTTTTTACATCATATTTTTAATCAAAATAAACCTGCCCCCTACTGCAAGCTCACATTCATCTGCCTCCACTTTTGAGTACTACTCCCACATCTCAACATCCAGTGAACAACTAAATAGAAAGTCCATGCCCACCATTTTTTTATAATCGTCTTGGATGTGCATCACCACACAGATGAAAAGATCTGTCGCTACTTGCATTTCATTGAGAGTTCAGCCCACTTTGCAGTTTATTTTGTATAAGAACAATCTACGTAAACACACAGACACTGTTCGACAGACGTGTCGAAAGTGACAGATCACAGTTGTGTACATGCTGTTTAGGGATGGTAGATTTGTCTGTAACTACAGAAATTAACCTGTGTGGACAAAACACATTCAAACAGTTCAGAAGTCTCTGCAAATGGTTGCACATTTGTATTCACAGAACTTGTGATCTCGTTTCCAGGAAAATCATAAATCAAGTTGCAAATGTGCACAAGAAATAATGGGAGGGGGTCCTTATTTCTACAATGGCACACACTTGCAAGAGCCTTGCTTCCTGTCACAACTTGTTGCTGACTGCCAGCTATACTACACAAAAGTAGTTATAGCCATGAAAAACCTTCCCCCATTTTGTAGGAAACAGCAGTATATATATATGATAAGATTAGGGGTAAAGAGAAGTGCAAAATTTTATCTGAAATGAGTATGCAATTCAATTAAAATAAATGAATATGGCTCACATACAAAAATGATATCAGAGTGTAACTGTGGTTTCCTGAGACATTTTTCACCCCCACAAGCAAGCGAATATGAAATCACTTCTAATCAAGCCGAGCAAGATCAACACATTAAAACAAAACAATGGCACTGTTCTGCACTACTGCTTTATCGCCTCTTTTATTACTCAGTTACTCAGCATTTTTTATTCTGATTGGTCATAGCATATAGAGCATATTC